ACAATGCGGATTTGCACGTAGCGTGCTCGTGGGACCACGCCTCTTTTTGGCGCGCCCAACTCTCGCACAAAATGGGGCAAAATTGTCCCTAAAAGCAGTTTTTCTATCAAAATTTTGACTATGACAATAAACAAAATATGACTGCAGTCTTAAGCTTTATGATCATGTATTGTTGGAATTAGAAGTGGAAGTTTGGAAAGAAATCTCGGATTTCAAAGGGATGGTGTTTGAAAACTCAGAAATTCAATGTACAGTAGAATTTTTGATATAGTTCAAACTCCTCCTTGTGTCTTAAGACTGTGAAAAGACGTAGAGGTCCTGATCTGTAATTCACCTTAAGCTTAATAATGTAAAACACTAGTTAATACATCGCCGAGCGAAGTGCCATATCCTAAAATTTCATATAAATTAGCTAGTAACAAACATTTCTGCAAAATATGCTAAACATAGGCGTAACGGAGCTTGCTTATAATTACTGATATGTTGAAAATGTTTTAAATGGGTAAAGAAGAAAATTTTAGGGTGGCACCCACCATTGGGTGCCATTGTCCCACGCGACGGTCATAGTGGCACCCACCGGTGCCATTGTCGCCAAAGGGTTGATGGTCCTACCGAGGTGGCTAGAGCACAGACGATTAGAGAACGGATGAATGCCCTAGGACTAAGCCTTGGAGAGGAGAGGGACCCGCGAGAGAGCGCAGAGGCGGTTTAAAGGGCCGAGTTCCAAGTAGTCCGTCGACCGTAAATCACCGTGGAAACGTTCGAAGAAAAGTCAGAATCTTGTGCACCGACACATTAAAGCCACGATTTTAAGTAACACTCGCACAATTATTTTCGCACACTGCTGCCAATGAAGTGATAAAATTCATGGAAAATAAGTCCCACCCGTTCAACTCCGCACGCTATCGCGCGCATCACGCATTTGATTTTAATAAAGCTGAAAACCTGTGGAACATTAGCTAGCGCATTCTACGAGGCACTTTACTATTGGATATTTCAGTCCTATGATTTGATGTTCCACAGTACTCACTAGTTTTGCTGAAGCCCACCGCGTATGCACGAGACAGGTGCGGGTAAAGCTGGTACTTGTCATAACCTTGGAGACTCAGCAGTGGACTTGAATTGAGCTGTTTAGCCGTCGAATAGGTTTCCTTTATTTAAAATTAGAAAAACAATGAAACTCGCCTACTAACTGATCTCTTATTGATCAGGAGGGCTCCACGAATTTGGCTCTAGGGACCTATTTAAACTGAATAGCCGCGTTCGTTTACCGCATTCAGTCACACTCAAGGGCTGCTAACCTTTACCAATCCTAATTTGCTCAGTCACTTCCTGAAAGAGCATCAACATCTTGTCCCCTCAAGCCACTCGCTAAGTGATCAGTGCCACATAATTGTGAGAAGCATAACGAAATACGAAACATTTGCATGACGCCCATTATCAGCTCCTATTATCACTATCAAAGTTAAGGCACGTGGAACCTACCATTAGTAATCAAAGCCAAAACCTTTTTTCTCATTATTTTCTCGTGGAGCAAGATAGATAACTACGACCACGGTCAACCACCTTGCGCAAAAATCAACGAGGGATCGTATTTGGCAAATGAAAAGGGGAGTGTTGTAAGCTTAAGGACCAGTCACGAAATTTGAAGGTACTAAAGCATGACAAAATGGCGAAGAAGTGCTAAGTTCCAACTATCACTCCAACTACTCACCACAAACAAATAAATTTCGCATGCCAGAGCAGGCAGGTATTGTTGAATGACTTCATATTCCAGTGTGCCAACAAGTTCTTCCTAAGAAATCCCGATGCTTTCACACTATACATATCAAAGGGGAAGAGCAACAAATTCGAATTGACTATATCACCGATACTAAATCCTGATTGGAAATTCCGGCAGAAGAAAGGCTTTTGTTTCAAAAAATCCCTGGAGAATCTATTATACGCTAAAAAGCACTTATATCGAAGATTTCAATGATTTCACCGTCCTTTTTACAGTTTCTAGAAGCTTATGGGGTTTGAACGTTGAGAACTCGAGCTTCAGAAATGGCCTTAAAAATATATCGAGGGAAAAATCGGAGACTATTTTTCGAAAGATGTCCCATATTTTTCAAAACCTCTATGTTTCTAGTTGCGAAAAAAGCAAAAGCAGTTATGAAGTAGAAATGCGTAGTGTTAGGCTGGTGTCAGAGTCCGCGATCCATCGCAGGTTTCGCTGACTTTCGCGATTTGCGCGATAGTCAGCAAACCTGCGACGGATCGCAAAAATTGCAAGTGCCCATTTGAACATTTGAAACACTGAATATGAAACAAGTGGAATCATGAGCAGTCGTCATTCAGCCACTATCAAGCAGAAGTGGACGGCAGGATTATCGCGCAAATCGCGTGAATCGCGCAAATCGTGTGAATCGCTCAAATCGCGAAAATCAGCGAAACCTGCGACAGATCGCGGACTCTGACACCAGCATGGTGCATCTTTGCGCGCATAGTTATTATTTTATGTCTGATTCATTAGAGGACCACACTTTGCAGTCACTCTGTATTTATTGCTATGAGTAACTAGCGCTAAACCTGGGAAAAAAAAGTTTCAAAGGACTTATATCTTATTTTGCATTTAGAGGGTCGCTCCGTTAAAATGAACGAATGTTGTATGCATAAGTCCTTATATCTGCAGAAAACCATTTTGAGAATGCGAGACACGACCCGGAAAATCTTCCGTAGATGTGCTCGCAGGTCATTAGGTTATTTTCACTAATTATTAAGAAATCTACTGAAAAGAAGGCCATCAGCACATTTGGTTCAGGTTTGTTTACTGCAAATGAGTCAAGAAGAGGCGCCGCCGACCTCGCATCATTAGCCATCCCTACCAGCTTGCTGCACCCCATAAAAAATTTTGATCACAAAAGATAGAAAGAAATAGTGAAAAAAAAACCTTGTAAAACGCTTGGTACAGTGTTGCCAATCACAAGCAAATGGTTTGTTGCCAGCATGACCACGAAGATGTGCCCTAAAAATGACACATCATTTCTTCGTATTTGCTCCGCGTAAATATGATGGAATGCGACAGATCATCGAAAAAGTAGCTGTGTGTAAGTTCAACTAAGAAAAAACACCTTAGCATTGCACTGAAAATCAGTAGGCGTCAGCGAAAAACAACAAACCTCAAGTGAGACGTTTTTCCGTAGGTTTTCTGACAGATGTGACAAATGTGTAGTCGCTGTTTCCCATCACCACTAGAATAAAGAAGAATTATAAGTTTCTATTGTTTCAATATTTTCCAATAAACACGCCCAGCGATTTACGTATAACGCCTAAAATCACTCACGTTCTAGGAGTATTCGAGTTTTGGCAGTTTGGACATGTGCATGCACAACGCTTAGGCACCTGACTCTAAAAAATTACTTAGATTTAACAAATTTTCCAAAACAACGCCGTCATTCAAAAACAAGACAATGTAGAGCTCAGAGTTGGCGATCGTACTTGCGATTAGGCTAATAGGCGATTATTAATGAAAAATATATGTATGGATTAGGCGAGTAAGCGATTAGGCGATCGCTCAATGGGCAAAGCAACAAATCAAAACGTTTCCTTTTCTTATCGCCTCCACGCCCACTCGCCTACTCGCCTAATCTACGCATATACTTTTCCTTTTGAAACGCAGCCTAATGGCACGTACGATTGACATTATTGAACGCTCCTGAGTAAATAAAGAGAAGTTGAAATATTGAGTATCGCCCGTGAACGTAATTTTACGAGGGCTAGGAAACATCAAATATGACAAAAGGCATCGCGTCTGTCGCGAACTCAAAGGGAAAGATGCAAATAGAGAAACATGAAGCACTTTTCAAAGAATGCTGGGTTTATGAACAAAACATTCGCCCCAGGCAGGACTCAAACCTGCACCTTTCGCTTTCCGAGCAAGTACGCTACAAACAACCCTACCGAGACAGCTTTCACCTTAAAGCAACAATCCAAGAACGAATTTGCGAGCTAAAACCAGTGATAATGAAGTTGTAGGTGAAAAGTTGAAAATTGATAAAGGACGTTAAACAGAGACTTAGACAGGGATTCCCCCTCTGCCACTTAGCAATGGAGGAAGACGCGTGTTGGACGAGTTGTCTGAATATGCCCGCAGTAAATGCGCCCCAATTGCAATTGCTG